GTATGTATGTATGTATGTATGTATGTATGTATGTATGTATGTATGTATGTATGTATGTATGTTTATGGCAGTGATGGCTAACATTTTCTGGACTGAGTGCCCAAAGCACGCATCTGAACCCCCAAAATGCAATGTGCATGCAGGCCCCATGCATGGGTCCCCCCATGAATGCACACACTACCCCCTGCATATGTCCCACCCCCACCCATGCACACGCGAAACCCCTGTGTGCACCCTGCCCCGTGGCCTGCACATGCGTGACAGAGATCCAAAGACTAGCTGGGAGGTGAACAGGCAAAGCTGAGCTAGGGCAACAGCTTGTGTGCCCACAAAGAGGGTGCTGCGTGCTATAGGTTCGCCATCATGGGTTTATGGGTTGGTAGGATGGGAATTTAAAATTACAGTTCGTCAATGCTCAGGTGATTTTCCTTAAATAGATTATGTGCCATCCATGACAGTCTGTCCCTAACCTGGTCTTTAGGTCTTCCAACAGTGCACCCTTCATAATAGTCCATTAATTTTGCTACTGGCTTTCTCGTCTTCTTTTTCTTTCCACCTTTCCCAGCATTAGAGCCTTTTCTAGAGAACTAAGTCTTCACATAATTAATACATTCAAAGTAGGATAATTTGAGCCAGACCATTTGTGCCTTGAGTGGATTGATTTGTTTAATCATACATTTGTTGGTTTCCTTGGCTGCTTATGGCATTCACAAGAATCTTTTCCAAAACCAACGTTCAAAAGGCTTTATGGTCTTTCTGTCCAGCTTTTCTGCGATCTATTCCAAAGTTTAGTTACTGTACTTTTTGGAATATGACACACACTTTTTTCCACTCAAAAAAGAGGGTGAAAATCTGGATGCATCTTATACACTGAATACAGCATTTTTGATCTCCCGAAACCCCTCCCCCTTTTCAAAAATGGCCATGCATAGCCCCTAGGAGGCTTCCAGAGTGCTCATTAGGGCTGGGGAGGGAAAAAATGAGTTAAAAACGGGCCGTATTTTGCGCCTTTCCCCACCAGCTCCCAAGAGCACTCGATAAGCCTCCTAAAGGCTATGCATGCCCCCCCTTTTTTTCTCCAGTGCACTGCTCAGAGAGTCCAAATGCTGGGTTAACACAGCCTATCTGCCCTTGGACTGAGTGATGTTTTTGTTTTTTTTAAAATATATATTTTATTCAATTTTCACATTCCATTTGCAATCATTTATATACAGGGTATTNATGAAGAATCCAAGAATAAATGTCACTCAAATGCAGCCTGTGAAAAACTCAGTTGGTTTCAACAAAAAGTATAGTTCTTAAATGATGTAATGCTTTTATGTTGTAAATTGTTTGTCCTTCCCCCACCCCTTTTGAACTGTGAGCCGCCCTGAGTTCCCCCAGGGAAAAGGGCGGCATACAAATAAAGTGGGGAAAAAAAGGTAGGATGGCTGTCCAGATCTTTTTAAGCCTTCCAACATTCATTGTGAACTATACTTTTTGTTGAAACCAACTGAGTTTTTCACAGGCTGCATTTGAGTGACATTTATTCTTGGATTCTTCATACTTATAAGCAGTTCCTATCATAGCACCAATGAACCCATGACTGAAGTATCCAAAACTACACCTATTTTATGTAGAGGTTTAAGCAATGCTTTTGAAGACTGCCAGAATATCTGATAATTGGAAAATTTACAGATTGTACCAAGGAACAGGCATGAGCTCATTATAGTTTCAACTGTATTTAGGAATGGATTTATCTTTAGATTAGTTCTCAGGTGTCAAACTTGTGGCGTCATGTTGCTGTCACATGACATATCACAATGTTTTCCCCCTTTGCTGGGTTGGGCTGGGCATGGCCTGTGTGTGACACATCTGGCCCGTGAGCTGCCAGTTTGACACCCCTAGATTAGATTATCATTTCTGTGTTTAATGAACTGAGAGATGGCATTATTCAAGGCATCACAGATAATTTAGCTGAATTACTTTAGTACTGTATCTGTAGAAAATTGGAACAGCTGAGATGCATGGGGATGAGAAGAGATTTTATACCTCTTCTATGCTCATTCCCTGGAGCTAATAAGATCTTTTTTTAGTTATAAAATAACACAGCTGTTCCCTTGGTTAATTTGAGTTTTAAAGTGCTTTAGATATATAATTCTTGCAGATTATTTTA